TAGGGGAACTAAAGGTTAACCTTTGGGATTATAGGGTGATTATGTTTCCGCAAAAAAGGTTAAAGGTTACATGCTCTACTGTACTACTAAGCTTCTTTCTCAAGGCACCACATGCCTGTGCGAGAATGACTGAGTTCGGCGTCGACGCTGTGGCGGATATCTTCTTCTTCAGCTCTGGAAACATCTCGAGCTGGACATCCATGGCATGCTTTAGCATCACGTTCGCCGTCTTGTACCTGTACTCCCCTTAGAACCTTAATAACAATAATATTCTTAATATCCTCTTGGGTTGTATGTAAACAAAAAATAAAAGAATTATTCCCAAGGGGGTAATATAGGTACCGTCGGAGTTCCTCTTGCAGCTGCAGGTTGTGGGCCCTCAAGGTTGCGATCTGCGCCTTACCTTTGGCCAGCAAAGTGGCAGCGTCGGTGGCCAACATGGCGACTTTGCACCACGTGCCTACCTGGATATGCCGGCCTGTACGGCGCTTGCAGCTCACATCCCATTCCTGCTGGTGCTTTATGCTCTCAGCCTGCAACATTTCTGGAATTCCGCTAGGAGTGTAGAAGCGATTGCTGGACACACGCTTTGTCAAGCTCTCATCTCCTGCGAGCAAAGCTCTGCAGCGGAAGTGGAGCTCCCAAAGCCCTAAACCTCCCCCGGAGCCCTAAGCTCTCAGGGTAGCTACACGGCCCCTTAGGGTTTAGGGTTTAGGGTTTAGGGTTTAGGGTTTAGGGTTTAGGGTTTAGGGTTTAGGGTCTAGGGTTTAGGGTTTAGGCTTAAGATGGCTTTAATACGATAGTTGCCTGGTCCCTGCCTTTGCTCCCTTGACCTTTGTTAGAGGATTCGGAAGCGTGTGAGCAACCCTAAACCCTAAACCCTAAACCCTAAACCCTAAACCCTAAACCTTATCAGCCCTGCTGAGCCCAGAACTCCAAAAGCGACCCCAATATGCCGACATACATTCAACCGAAAGCCCTAAACCCTGAAGCCCCTGAACCCTAGACCCTTAACCCCAAATCCCAAACACCAACACCGAAACCCTAAACCCTGAACCCTAAACCCAAACCCCCCAACCCTAAACTCCGAAGCCCTAAACCCCAAACCCTAAACCCCAAACCCTAAACCCTAAACCCTAAACCCTAAACCCCAAACCCTAGACCCCAAACCCAAACTCCTGCAAGCTGCGCCTTGCCGGAAAGCAGCTGTCTCCTCTGCTGACAGACCCTTGAGCCTGGGAGTTGATTTATAGGGGTCCAAGGGGTTTAGGGTTTAGGGTTTAGGGTTTAGGGTTTAGGGTTTAGGGTTTACCCAACCCTAAACCCGAAACCTTAGGGTTTAGGATTTCAGGGTTTAGGGCTGAGGGTCAGGGAGTTGATGTACAGGTTATAAGGGTTTACGGTTTGGGGCTGGCAACTGCGCATTGAGCAGTTCTCTAAAGAATTCGGTTCCCCTTTTGGGTCTGTATTATAAGGGTGCCGTCCCCTGAGCCTAGACCCTAAGCCCTAAACCATGTAAACCCTAAACCCTCAACCCGAAACCCGAAACCCTAAAGTGAACCCAAAACCCTGAAACCCCCAAGGTCACGCCCCCTGCGGAGCCGCGAGTCGACAATTTCAGGCTTTGCCTTCACATTCTCTTGGCGCGGACCCAAGCAGGGACCCTAATTTCGAGAAGCTACCCGCATGAATGCCATCGTTTGCGCGCTACGGTTACCAGTTCGGAACGCTGTTGCCTGAGAGCTTTTTTGGCCTTCTCCGGCTTGGAGTGAACTCATGACCCTTGTGACTTATGACCCTTATCATCAGTATCCCTAAACCCTAAACCCTAAACCCTAGACCCTAAACCCTAAACCCTAAACCCCCATCATCGGTATTCCATTCCCCTAAACCCTAACCCCTATCCCCGACACCCTAAACTCTAAACCCTAAACCCCGTCATGGAACTGTTGGACTGTCCGACCCAGGGCTCCCCACTGCCACTCCCACACCTCGAATGCACTCTCGGCCGTGTAGTCGCTGTGGACCTCGGCTTCTTTAGGGTTTAGGGTTTAGGGCTAGGGTTTAGGGTTTAGGGTTTAGGGTTTTAGGGCTTTAGGGTGTAGGATGCAGGGTTTAGTGCAGGATTAGGGCCTAGACTGCACGGCAGCAGTTGAGGGGTACACAGTGGGAGGAAGTAGAGCAGCATGAGCTCAGAAACGCCCACAGCAATGACAGCTGCAAGAGCCATTCCCCAAAACCAGACCTGAGACCGGGGTCTACAAGTGCCTGTAGGCCTAAACCCTAAACCCTCAACCCTAAACCCTAAACCCTAAACCCTAAACCCGAAACCCTAAAGGGCAGCTCACACTCAACTCTCTCAGAGAACTTGGTAGCCAGCTCGGTAGTCGTAACCTCAGCGCTATAATAGGAGCGAGAACCATAACCAGCAGATGAAGGCATTGTGGCTTTAGGGCGTGCTTTTCGAGGCTTGAATCGCGTCACATCACGAAAACGTGGCAGGGACCTTCTTCCCTGTTGGGCTATGGTTCGCTTCGTGCGTCTGTTCTAGGGAATGCTTTGGGATGTTCCCCCTTACACTAACAGGTCGTCCATTGGGATTCAAATAGGGGGTACTATAATCCCGATTAAGGACTGTTCGTATAAGGGGGAACATCCCAAGGAATGCTCGTCATGAAGTGCAGAACAGTCGTCATCCTCGGCCTTTGGTCTTACACCGTTCAGGGTCGACGCCAGCAGAATTCAAGGTCAACTGAATGACAGGAGCAGCCCGAATCGCGGCAAGTCTGGCGGCTGAGGGCCATGCCAGCAGCAGCTTCCTCCTCGCCCGGCTGCTTGCAGTCTGCCCGCTGGTGCCGGACCTGCCACGCCACCCCAATCCAATCAACATCCCAAACGCACCGCTACAAATCTCAAAAGCATCTTCTCCCTTACACTAACAGTCCTTAATAGGGATTGTAGTACCCCCTAAACGAATCCCTGTTAAGGAGCAGTAGTATAAGTGGGAACATCCCAAGGCATACAACATGAATCAACGTGAACATACATGCACCGCGCACATTTTGCTGGCTCCAAGAGCTGACACTTACAAATTCGGACACATAAGTTCAAATCAACAACTTAGATAGAACAGTAAGTGTACATCGCGGCTCTGCGCACTGTGAAAACTAGCCCTCAACCCTGAACCCAAGACCCTTCATTTTCAACCTCCCAAACCTCCTCAACCTCCTAAACACTTCTAAACCTCCTGAACCTCTTACAACTTCTAAACCTCCTAAACCTCCAAAAACTTCTAAACCCCCGAAACCTCCTGAACCCAAGCTGCAGTGAAGCCAGGTCTGTCACCCTGGGAGGGGGGGGGTGTCCTTGTGGTGGAATGCCAGCACTCGATCTGCTCCTGTGACCTTGGCTTCTGGAGGAAGTGGCTTTAGGGTTAGAGTTTAGAGTTTAGGGTTTAGGGCTTAGGCTCAAAGATACTCTGCCTGGAGGACATGAACCAGACGTCTGACCTACAGTGCTAGACTACTAGCCCTACAGGCTCGAACATGGCTCCTACTTGGAGGTTTATGGTACATATTAACCAAGTTATTACTGCACCTATAACCCACTGATAGGCCCCTTAAGTGCCCTAGTATGGTTAGAAGTACAGTAAGTACAGTTGTATTTGGGTTAATACGTACCATGAACCTCCAAGTACTCCCACATCTGCCCTAAACCCTAAACCCTCCGAACCCCTGCATGCCAGGCAACCGCCTGAACGAGGCGGCACACTTGCGGGTAATACCTGCTGCGCACCTGACCACCAGGATGGGGACCATAAAGGCCCTAGAATCCCCTCAGTCAACCCTATAAGGGGGCTCTTTAAGGGATTGTAGGGTATAATCGCCCGTCCTGGCATGTTGGACTGAGTAGGTTCTCAGCGCTTCATGGGCAACTGTGCGAGACTGCGCGCAGGTTTGTGCTTGATCCGCCTCGCTTGGATTGGAGAAAAAGATCTCCTTATCCAGATCGGTGGCGTCAAGGTCTGCGAGCTGAATTCCCTGGAGCAGGGTCTAGGGTTTAGGGTTTAGGGTTTAGGGTTTAGGGTTTAGGGTTTAGGGTTTAGGGTTTAGGGTTTAGGGTTATACCTGCCACCCACCCCTCAGTGACAAGTTGAATGCGGAGCTCTGAGCACTTCTATGGGTAGTTGCGGGTTCTGGTATGTTTAGGGTTTAGGATTTTGGGTTTAGGGTTTAGGGTTATAGAGTTTATGATAGACACCCTAAAACCTCACTGAGTTGGGTTTATGGCTTGTAGGGTTTCGGGTTAGCGTGCGTATACCCTAAACCCTAAAACTGCCAACCCTAAACCCTATAATCCCCTCCCCCCTATACTAGAACCCCCCTCCCCCCGCTAAAATTTTGAGTCGGCTGGCAGACATATTACAGTAGGGGGCCTAAAGCCTAAACCCTGAAATCTGAAATCCGAAGCCAAAAAACACGAGAGAGACAAAGCACGGCTGGATTCGAGCTGGAGTAGAGTGTAGGGTTTGGGGGTCGAGGGTTTGGGGTTTAGGGGTCGAGGGGTTTGGGTTTGGGGTTTAGGGTTTAGTGCGGGTTAAACTCTGAGCCTTACGCCCTAATTGCTAATAGGCGGAGGCCCTCAACACCCCGCTTGTCAGCATCGGGCTGGGTGCCGGGAGGGTCCAGAGAAAATAATACCCTAAACCCCAAACCCCAAACCCTAAAAAGGGAATAAGAGCTTCTGGTCAAAGAGCTCCTTTTGACCAGGGGAAAGAGGTCGGCAGGAGTGAGACAGGCTGCACAGCTTCCAAGCACCTCCATACCCTAAGGAGACAACGCAGAATCCCAACCCTAAACCCTAAACCCTCTTTGAATGGCCCCTTGGGTTGAAGGGCTTTTGAGAGGAGAGAGGGTTTAGGGTTTAGGGTTTAGGGTTTAGGGTTTTTCCGACGTGAACCCCAACCCTGACATCTTACAAGCCCTATACAAGCCTTCTTCCTACACGCTGGACGCGCCCCAGCGTGCCGCTGGGGGAAGGCAAGGGTGTGCATGAGTGTGCTCCCTCAGGGAACTTCTCTGGGCTCTGAGTTCGCGGGACGTCGAGGACAACTCCAGGCCAAGGTAGTGTAAGCACGCCATGAAAGCCATGAAGATGAATATGTGGAAGGAGGTCGTGTAGCTTCCAGTCAGGGCACGCAGCTTGCCTTGTGTGCAGTGACTCAACATGTGGGGGTTTACGAAAATGGGGGACCCTAAAATAGACCTCTGAATACTAGGATTCTCTTCTGGTAAGGGCCCGAATAAGGTACCCCTAATATCCTAAACCCCCCCCCCTGTCTCAGCCAAGCCAGGTCTGCACCGACCTGCGTGGCGCAAGCCGCACCTGGCAACAACATGCAACAACCCCAAAAATGCGGCTGAGCGGCCAGTGACGAGCGTGCCCAAGAAGCCGCCAACCTATACTCCCCTTAGAACCTCAATAATAGTAATATATTTCATATCCTCTTGGGTTTTATATCCCTTAACCCGAAACCCTGAACCCTAAACAAAAAACTCCCAAGAGGGATCTAGCCACCACCTGGAAGAACATCAGAAAGCCCTGCAGCTTGCTGAACTCCTCCATCTTCCCAAACATCTTGGCGGGCTTCGCGCACAGCACCGAGTAGGTGCCTTAGGGTTTTAAGTTTAGGGTTTAGGGTTTAGGGTTTAGGGTTTAGGGTTTAGGGTTTAGGGTTTAGGGTTTAGGGCCAACAAAATTGAAAAATCTTCCCAAGTATCCCCAAGGTGCCCCCAAAGCCGAGGCCATATATCACTGCAAAGGCTAGGAGCTGGGTATGGTTGGATGTCAGGGAACGCCCCCCTTTGTGAAAGTCCAAGGGCAGTAGGGTCCCAAGCAAAAGTACCTCAGGGGCCCAATGAACACTAAAAGGGTTTATGGTTCATATGATGGCTTCATAGGAATTATATTATTGCAGAAAAGAGCATATCCTAAAGGGTTTAAGGTTCATTACTCTGCCTTAATAGGAAACAGTAGGAAATCCCTCTAGTCTGGGGCAGACGACCCCAACTTTTGTTCGGCTCCTTTGCTCCCCCAAGGTACGAAGCAGCTGACGAGGCCTGTCAAGGCTTGCCGTGTGTCCAGGGAAGCCCCTGCCAGGAGTTTGGCAGCTATGGAGGCCTGGAAGACGACGGAGGAGTAGAAGCCACAGAGCTCCACCCCCATGCCCACGTCCGTCTTCAGATACAGGACCAGGGTGTTGATTAAGGCAATGATGATGTAGAGCCTGCTATAAGGAGCTTGCGACTTAGGTTGAGCTGGCGACTTAGGCTACCCATGAGATAGACTGCCAATGATAAAGTGTGGTTCCGTTCTCTTAAGTAACGTGGCTTAACCTCCAAAACAGCAACCCAAAACCCTAAACCCTTTAGCTCCGCAACAGCAACCCTAAACCCTACAACCCTAGAACCTGGAACCCTGGAACCCTGGAACCCTAAACCCTAAACCCTGTCACCCTAAACGCTAAACCCTATCACCCATCACCCATCACCCTAAACCCTAAACCCTATAACCCTAAACCCTAGCCCTAAACCCCAAACCCTAAACCCACTAAAAGCCTGAAATGGCTCCCTAACATGAGCCCAGGGGGCTGGTAGAGGGACAGGAATGCAAGGTGCCAGACAGCGCCCAGCCGCAGACTCTGCCAGAAGTTCAGGGGAAGATGCTGCCCTTGCCTGGGCTCGTAAACCCTAAGCCCTAAACCCTAAACCCTAAAACCGTAAAACCCTAAAACCCTACACCCGAAAACCGCAAAACCCTAAAACCCAAAACCCTAAACCCTAAACCCTGCTAAGTAAAACAACTTTTTCGTCTTGAGGCCATGATCTAAACAACTTACCCTACTCCCTAAACCCTACAAGCCAGAACCCGAAAAGCCAAAAACCCTATCACCCTAACCCCTAAACCCTAAACCCTAAACCCTGTTCCTTAGTAGCCGCCGCCCAGTTGCCCTCCTTGCGGGTCCTGCTCGCTTGCGTCATCCCCCTCCTCGCCCTCACGCCTCATGACCTGTGAGCTTCTTGGGATTTAGGGTTTGGGGTCTTAGGGTTTTGGGATGTTGGGGTTTTAGGGTTTAGGGTTTCAGAGTTCGGGGTTTATAGGGTTTAGAGTCTAGAGGTGTTTGGGGTTTAGGGTTTAGGGTTTAGGGTTTAGGGATTAGGGTTTAGGGTTGAGGGTTTAGGGGCGAGATGCTCACTTGGTCTGGGGCTCTGGGCTCTGAAGCCCGACATGCATAAACAGCTCGTTCAGGTCTTGCCCTAGGCTGCAACAGAGGTCACTTACACTAAGCCCTAAACCCTAAACATCCCTAAACCCTAAACCCCAAACCCGAAACCCTAAACCCTAAACCCTAAACCCGAAACCCCAAACCCTCGATGGTGGAGCCCAGAGAGGTCGAACTGCTGGGATGGCTAACGATTGCGGGGCGTTTAGGCTTAGGGCTCAGGGTTTCGTGTAGTCCAAGGTCTCTCTCGGGCCTAGCTTGCTCAGAGGGGAGTTAGGGGTTGGGGGCTTAAAGCTGAAGGTTTGCATGAAAGCATCGCTACAACATCTTCATCCCTCATTTGAAATGTATTTCAGGTTTAAGTTTTGCAAGATTTGGTGAGATGATGGCTTTCTGAAGCCGTGACAAAGACTGCTTTCTGCGCAGCTTGTATGTGATCTTGCTCGGGTTCCAAGTTTTGCGCCTGTCTAGGAGCTAACATTACTCAAAAATGAGGTACACTAATTATATCCTCTGCACATATATATGTATACACACTTACAGATAAAGATAACATGCCCTAAACCCTAAACCCTAAACCCTAAACCCTAAACCCTAAACCCTAAACCCTAAACCCTAAGATAATAGGTAACAACACACCCATGTAGCTAACTCCCTAATTCATTCCCTACTAAGAGCCAGTGATTACCGACTGTGGCTCTGGTGCTGTCATTTATCCTTCTCTAGGGTTTAGGGTTAGGGTTTAGGGTTTAGGGTTTAGGGTTTAGGGTTTAGGGTTTAGGGTTTAGGGTTTAGGGTTTAGGGTTTAGGGTTTAGGGTTTAGGGTTTAGGGTTTAGGGTTTAGGGTTTAGGGTTTAGGGTCTGGCCCGTAGAGCCATGAAAGCCGTTGATACCTGCACAACCCAGCGTTGTAGCTGCATGTTCTTCTTGCCGTCTTTACGAAACTCGATGAGTCGGAGGTTTTTTGTTCTGCAGTCCCAGCTGTTCTGCGAAAAACACTTGAAATCCCGAATTCTGGCGCCTTCGGAAGAATGAAAACCGGCCAGAACTAAACCCTAAACCCGAAACCCGAAACCCTAAACCCGACACCCGAAACCAGTTCAGGGTTGACCTCGGAAAACGGCTTTAGGGACTTTCGGGGGGGGCTCACGGGACTCGGCCGGCCTGGAAATGCCGCCTCCGATCGTTGCGACTGCGCAGCAGGGTGCCGTCGCGAAGGGCCAGGAAACCCAAAGGGATGACCTAGGAAGAGCTAAAACTAGGCCCAGGAGTAACCTAGGAATCAAAAGGGCACGCTTTGTGGTTTTAAGGGGAGTATAAGGGAACCCCGACCCTAAAACAGGAATAGGGCCCTACTCCGGGTCCTAGAGAAGCACCCTAGATATGAAAAGTGATAGCACCTTACATCTAATTAATTCTGCCTGTTAGGTTTGGGTTTGTTGATATGTTCTACAACTGTAAACTCTTGCGTAGATTTTAGAGCGTATTGTTGGGGCTTCCTGAAGCACATCCCAGTGACAACGGTGGCTGTCACAAAGGGCGTGAGGCAGGCGGCGGTTCGCCAGCCATGGTGCTGGATCAGGCTCCCCAACACCTAGGTTCGCGGTTTAGGGTTTAGGGTTTATAAGGTTTAGGGTTTAGGGTTTAGGGTTTAGGGTTTAGGGTTTAGGGTTTAGGAATTGAGGGTTCAGGGCCTCTAGAGCATCTTGAGTCCACGGGTTAAAGGAACGCATAAAACATGTCCCAAGGGCCTATACCTAGTCGCAGGAGGGAAGAAGATCCCAGCAAAACTGAAGGCAGTTGATAAAACAGCAATAGCCAACGCTCTCTGCTGGTCAAACCAAGACGTCACGAAGATAATGCACACTGTGATGCCGCTCAGATTGTATGCCACACCAATGACTCCCTGTAAGGCCGCCAGACACCAAAGGTCGGGTGCCATGGGATACAGAGCCGAAGATATCAAGATCATCACCGCACCCGCCCGGAGGCATCGAGTACTGCCAAAGGTGTCCACCGCAAAGCCGCCCGGGACGGTAGAGAGTGCTTTCGTGAGCAGAAAGACGCTCGGAATCCAGGACACGTGGTACTGGTCTGTGTGGAACTCTTCCATAATGGCCGGCAGCATCACGGGCGGGGCATGATATGACCCACCCGCAACAAGGAAAAAAAACACCCATATCGCTGCCATTTGCCTCCAATGCAATAAGAGCTCGCATTTCCGAGTCTCTTCCGAGAGGCAGCAGTACCTCAAATTGGACGGGCTTTCAATTTCAGCCACTGCCATAGCAGCTTGCCTGGGCAGCGGACTGCTCTCTAAACCCTAAACCCTAAACCCTAAAACCCTTAACCCTAAACCCGCCCACGCAAAATTCCGGAGTCCCCCGACGTTTAATCGGCCATGGCTCTGGCCGCATGTGCAGGGGCTGCCTAAATCATCTGGGACTGAGCGTATATCAGCAGCAGCATGATCTAGCAAGCTCACCCCAAGGGTCCATGTACCCATACCTTGGCAGCCTGGTAGCCATCTTATAATAAGGGCACCCTTTTTGGGGTTGGTTACTTTATAAGGGAACCCATAACCAAAAAAAAGGGTAAAGGGTACCACTGGGCTACCAAGATATAGATAGTTGGGGAGCTGCATAGGAACCCCTGGTAAGGCCCAAGTCGATACGAAATCGGCACATGGTCCCTCTGGGTAGCACAGCAGAAGGCCACTTGGCATGAAACACCCTGAACTCCCGGGATGCAGCCTAGAAGCCCTTAAGCCTCAACGCCGTGAGTGCGCCAGATCGCTCAAGCCCCAAACCTTGGTACAGCATCCCTAAACCCTAAACCCAAAAACCCTAAACCCCAAACCCTAAACCCTAAGCTCCTAACCCTCTAGTCCCCGATGCTTTGAAACCTTTTCCCCTGGCAAAAGGGGGGGGGGGGGGCTGGCCTGCTTCTCCAGGCAGAAGCGCTCCGAAATTTGAGCCTTCCACTTCTGGGATCCGTTTTAGGCTTTAGGGTTCAGGGTTTAGGGTTCAGGAACTCTAGGTATACTTTTCAACAACAAGCTTCTTTTTCAGAACGGCGATTCTATAGTAAATGGGACATGGAAGTAGGTTGCCCTTCAAACCCTCCAAGAAACTTTCACAAATCAGACCCTCTTCAACAATATAACGAATAAGGTATGCCCCAGGGAGAACATCTTGCAAGCGGTCCACGCAGATTGAGCTTGGACTAACATGGACTAACCCCCTAAACCCTAAACCCTAAACCCTAAACCCTAAACCCTAAACCCTAAACCCTAAACCCTAAACCCTATAGACCCTAAACCCGACCGACATTGCTGCAAGCACGTGAGACCGACGGAACCTTGCAAACCCTCAATAACGTGGAAGCCGCTTCAGCTGTAACTAGGGTCCCTCTTTAGGGCGATAGAACGGACCTAGCTCCCCATTCCCTACGAAGAACCACGAAGCTTGGAACAAACATGGTGCCTTGTTTCTTTCATGGAATTTACAAGAAGGCTAAAAAGACCCGAAGCCCTTAAGCTCTGAACCCCTAGCCCGAAATCCCAGTACCTTATAAACCCTAAACCCTTACCCTAAACCCTAAACCCTAAACGGCGGAGGTGTAGAGGACGAGAGGACCACGGGACCAGAGCACCAGAGGACCGTAGGACCAGAGGACCAAGGGACCAGAAGGCCAGAGGACCAGAAGACCAAGCGACCAGAGGGCCAGAGGACCAGGGGACCAGAGGACCAGGGGACCAGAGGACCAGGGGACCAGAGGACCAGGGGACCAGAGGACCAGGGGACCAGGTGACCAGAAGGCCTGGGGCTAACGTTACCAAGGCCACCAAGCCAGGGCCAACGTTAGGAAAAAAAACACCGGGCCCAACCCTAAACCCTAAACCCCAAACCCCAAACCCTAAACCCTATAGAACCCTAAACCCCAAACCCTACGAAAGCCAAGCAGCAGCCCGCGCGTCCTGAAGGCGGACTGCCGCATGGCTCATGCGGCGCCCGCAGGCCCCGTCCCGCACGTAGCGGAGCCCCACTTCCGCGTCCCTCGCATAGGGTTTAGGGTTTAGGGTTTAGGGTTTAGGGTTTAGGGTTTAGGGTTTAGGGTTTAGGGTTTAGGGTTTAGGGTTTAGTGTTTAGGGTTTAGGGTTTAGGGTTTGGGGTTGAGGGTTGAGGGTTGAGGGTTGACGATTGAGGGTTTAGGTAGAACATCTGAGCTGTACAAACACATCTTAGCGACGAAGGTTAACCTAAAAGGGTCTTCTGGCCCATCTACCGTTCACAGCGGTTAGAGTAGTACTGCATGGGGCCTACGATCCCAATCTGAAATAATCTGAACTTAATTGTTCTTGGTAGGGAGTGCGACAGAAATTAGCATACATGTAAAGTGTCAACACAGTTCTATACGTACGAATGCCTGCAAGCTCCGAAGCTAAAAATGCCGTCTCAAAGCCCAAGCACCTTCCTCCTCCATCAGCAGGCTCGCCAGCAGGGCGGGCAAAAGCGTACCACAACAAGCCGGAGGCAGCCCCGGCACCAACGCACCTCGCGCGACTTTGGGGCGACTTGTATTGCCCTCTGAGGCCCTCAACACCCTAACCCTTTAAACCCTAAACCATAAGCCCTGAAACCTCGGAAGCTTCGCTTCAAGCCTTGAATGCCTGAGCCAGAATTGAGAATTCAGGCAGGAGTGCGCCCATGGACTCAAGCCGCTACGGAGGCAGCGGTTAGCAGCAACTTTATCTTCTTAAGTGCCCGACCGTGGAGCCAGGCGGCGCCACATTGCCGGTGTCGCCAGGCTACGATGCTAAGGTTTAGGGTTTAGGGTTTAGGGTTTAGGGTTTAGGGTTTCGGGTTTAGGGTTTAGGGTCTGATGGAGGCAGGATGCAGGATGCAGGATGCAGGGCTTCGAGATAAGACTCAGACTGCGAAAAGCGACAGGCCCACATGCTCAGAAGCTTGGTCCAAGATGGAACTGGCTTGCCACGCAAAGCAAATCGCCAACCTGTGCGCAGTTTCCTGGCCCTCCCTGTCGTTTACTTCATGGGCAACTCGAGATGAGACTCGTGGCTCGCATTCAGAAAGCTTTTCTGTGCAGATTCATGACGTTGTCTTGCACAAATGAGGCCCCATAGCCATGGATGTGAACCTGACAGCGAAGCATCCCGCCTAAAGCGGCTGCATTCTGAAAAGGAATGGGAATTGGAGGTGCAAAAGTGAAACACGTGCTGCTGAGCCTGCTACCATCTGCTGACTACCGCAGCACCAAAGTACGGTAGAACATGGTACGCCAAGGAGATCAGTGCAATACGAATATATATCTATAGGTGCCTAGCCTCTTAGAGTGGGCATCCTGGCTTGCTTAGAGTTCCGGGCATTTTACGGAAATAACATATTGGCGGCTCCTGCTTTGTCAGGATTAGTCGATCATGGTGCTGGAAGTGAGTCAAGCTCCCGAAATCTCAAAGCGTGAATCAGGAGTCATACCTCTGCCAGCGCGTGGTGCGATCTGCTTGCGCCAGCTATCGGTTAAGGGCTTAGGGGTTTAAGGGCTTAGGGTTGAAACTGGGGGTTAACGGCACCCTAAGCCCTCAACCCCATGAAGCCCTTAACCCTATAAGCCTAAACCTTTTAGGATGCAGCGCGTGTGGCGCAACAACTTGAGTAGAACATGAACCCTAAGCCCTGCCACTGGCGTGCCCAAGGCACCTCGCCAACCCTCATCCACCCCCAAAGTGTTGGGTTGAGGGTTGAGGGTTGAGGGTTGAGGGTTGAGGGTTGAGGGTTGAGGGTTGAGGGTTGAGGGTTGAGGGTTGAGGGTTGAGGGTTGAGGGTTGAGGGTTGAGGGTTGAGGGTTGAGGGTTTAGGACTTCGGGTTTCGGGTGCCTTAGTATGGGCCCTTAAAGGGGGACCCCCTCACAATTCCCTTATTTCCACTGTAAATCCCTAGCGCCCTTCAGAACCCTTTAAAGAAGGAGGGACTTGCGAAGGGACCATGCAACTTCCCTTTGACAAAGCCTAAAGAATCCACAGCCTGCATGGTCCTACCTTTCCTTGTAGGCTATGGCTCTAAAGCCATCAACAGGATTCTGACATTAAAGTTAAAGTGCAAAAAACACAAGTTTGGTTGTCTAAACCCTAAACCCTAAACCCCAAACCCCAAACCCCAAACCCCAAACCCCAAACCCTAAACCCGGACTCGGTTCCCGGCCCTGGCACTCTACTTGCTCGCCTTAGTACAGACTCAGAAAGCCCAATACCCCCTTAGTTGAGGAGTTTAGGGTTTAGGGTTTAGGCTTAGGGTTTAAGATTTAGGGTTCTAGGGCTGAGGGTTTAGGGTAGGAAATACCCTACAACAGAATAAGGATTCCTCATTCATGGTATCTTCCTTAGTCAGAGCTTAGGGTTTCGGGTTTAGGGTTTCAGGGTTGAGGGGTCGAAGGGTCTAAAGTTTTAGGGTCTAAGGTTTCAGGGCTTGCGAGCTTCGGGTCAAAAGGGCTTTACCTCTGCGACAGCACTCATCCAAAGCCCCCACCCCTTACCTCAACCCTGCCCCCGAAGAAATCCGTCTACCCAACAGCCCTGCACTTGACATAGGGCTAATGGATCGCAAAAGCCGCAACCCCGAAGCCTCAACCCCCTCCCCTCCCCTAGACCAAAAAACAAACAGAGCGCGCAGCACCCTGAGACCTGCACTGCAAACTGCGGCTGCAGCGGGCCCGTCATGCCCTTAACGGCTACCTGTTGCAGGGCTTCTGCGGCTTCTGGGGCTTCGGGTTTGGGCTTCTATACCAAGGGGCTTTGAAGACGCTGGGCTGCAGGGGTTTTGAGTAGCCCCCAAACACTACAGCATACCCTAGACTTCGGTTTGCCACAAGGACCACAACAAACCCTAAACCCTAAACCCTAAACCCTAAACCCTAAACCCTAAACCCTAAACCCTAAACCCGCTGTAGGAGGAACATCCTACAACGGACCCCCCACCTTGCCGATTCTGCCCAGCGATGAGCTTTTCAGGAGCCCGGCCGAGACCACCAGCTCACCTCGCAGTGGATTCCGAAACCCTATACCCTAAACCCAAACCCTAAACCCTAAGCCCCAAACCCTAAACCCTAAACCCCAAACCCTAAACCCGAAGCCCTAAACCCTAAACCCTAAACTCTAAACCCTGAACCCGAAGCCCTAAACCCTAAACCCTGTAAACCCTGTAAACCCTAAATCCTATAAGCCCCAAACCCTGTAAACCCCAAACCCCCAAACCGCAGAACCACTGAGAAGCCTTCCACGTGGGCGTTTGATGTAGAGCATGAATCTAACATGCAGGGTTTGGGGTGTAAACCGCGTAAGGTCTTGGGGTTGTGGTAAGGTTCTGAAGGGAGGGGGAGGGTTCAAGACGTATGTGACCCAAGGGAAGCCGGATGCTCCTACTACTCCCTAAGGCTCGCAAAGCTTCCCTAACCCTAAGCGCCCCCCCCCCCCTCCCACGAGCCCCCATGCCTTAATGACCCTACAGGGTTGTCTGAGGCTCAAGGCTTGGGTCTTGGGGCTCAGGATTTCAGGGTCAACGCATCCTATAGGGTTTGTGGGTGCCATGTGCCTGAGATCACGGGAAGATGCCCCAAACCCCAAACCCCAAACCCTGAACCCTAGACCCGAAAAAAACTAAACCCAACCCAACCAAGCAGACCCTCCCCCAAATACAGTAAAAAAACCGACAAACTTGAGCCCCCCCCCCCCCCCCAAAAAAAAAAAAAGATAAAAACCTTGAGCCCAGGTGGCCGATCATCTTCGCAGACTTGGACCGGGTCATGTCTTCCTCCTTCTTCTGGTGCAGGCCGTGCCCTTTACCGCCGAGCCTGGGGTTTAGGGTTTAGGGTTTAGGGTTTAGGGTTTAGGGTTTAGGGTTTAGGGTTTAGGGTTTAGGGTTTAGGGTTTAGGGTTTAGGGTTTAGGGTTTTGGGACGTTGGGGGTTCAGGGTTTGGGGTGCTAGGGTCTAGAGTTTACTGTTTAGGGCTTGGAGTTTCGGGCTCTTCCGAGTCGGGAAGGTGGCCCGCTATCATGCGAAGTATCTGGATACTCTTCCGCGGCCCCTATTATTTAGGGCTGGCCGGCAGAGGGCTATGTTTGGGGGGCCGGGGCGCTAACAAAACGGTAGAAGACCCGAAGAACTCCAACTCTTGCGCCCTAAAGCAACGAGCACGAAGCCGAGCACAACATCAGAGTTTAGGGTTTGGGAATTTGGGGCATCCTTTGGTCTGGGGATATGGGGTTTAGGGTCTTTGGGAGGGGGGGGGGGGGGGGGGGGCTCTGGTCGCAGGCAACCTACATCACCAAGAGCAAGAACATGCAAAGCCCAAACCAAAAAACCTAAACCCTAAAACCCTGTACCCTACACCTTAGACCCCAAACCCTAACTCTGAAGATGCCACAAGCCAGCATCTGATCTGAGGACGGGGCTGGACCAGCCTGTCCATCAACACAAAGTGGTTGTTCGCTTCTGCGTGGGCCACCTCAGGCAACAATGCAGTCTCTAGCCTGGCCTTGTTGTTCAGGAGCTTGCATTAACTTCCCATATGAGGTTGTACAGCAAAAGAAGTATCCCGACCATGGCAATTTATTGCAAGTTCCTGAAGAAGAATCCGGTAGTGCACTTGTGCCAGCACTTGTAGGCCTGACAGCTTCGAGACTTCCGTGGCGCTCTTTCAGAGAGCCCAAAGCCCCTAAATAAGGAACATACCTCAAAGTTGAGTACGGGCAGGACCATTCTTCTTGGCAGCCCAGCAGCCATATTGGAATAAGCGCACCCCTTTTTCGGGTTGGTTACTTTCTAAGGGAACCGCCCAGAACCAAAAAAAGGGTAAACGGTACCGCTGGGCCATCAAGTGCTTATAATCTAAACTTAACTGCACTTCTAACCCACTAATAAGCCTCTTAAGTGCCCTAATATGGCCATGATTGGGTTATAAGACCCTAAACCCTAAACCCTAAACCCTAAACCCTCCAAGTGGGCCCAGTACAGCCGAGCAGGCTCTTTAGGGTCGAGGCCGCAGTGTACTCGCGGTCATCCTTGGCATTCATGTCCGCGCCCACCTCCGCTGCTGGTCTCAACAGGGGTTTAGGGTTTAGGGTTCAGGGTTTCGGGTTTAGGGTTTAGGGGCACTGGTCGGTAGCAGGGTCATGAGAATCCCCCCCAAACCCTGAAACCCTGAAGCCCTAGATAGACGTTGAACCCTAAACTCGTAGAAGTGGATGCCCCTCAGTCGCCGCCCGGACTCAGAACGACCTCGTCAAGAAGGCCCGTTGGCTGGTCACGGCTTAGGGTTTGGGGTTTGGGGTTTGGGGCTTAGGGCATAGGGTACCCAACGGCTCGAATACCCGACCCTCCAGAAACAGAAACCTCTCATGCCCACGCTTGTTTTCGCCCCCATCTCCCCAAACCCTAAACCCCAAACCCCAAACCCTAAACCCTAAACCCTAAACCCTAAACCCTAAACCCTAAACCCTAAACCCTAAACCTGGGGCCTCCAAGAGCAGCATGGTGGTCTTCATGTTGCCACCCGCGGCCTTTTGTAGAGACCCCAGAGAGCCCAACACACCCCTTTGAATAAGGAAGCTACCTGAAGTCATGCAGGGACCCTGACTCTATGCTTTTAAGGTATGCGCCCGAAATAAGTGGTATTGGGCTCTCAGGGGAGTTTAGGGTTTAGGGTTTAGGGTTTACAGGGCTTTCTTGATAGACATAGGGGCTTTGTGGGGGCCAATGGCCGAGAGGTCCAAAGGGTTAAGACAGGGCTCCTTCTTTTTGGGGGTGCGAGGGGATACTGGGGAGTCATTGGGCTAGGGTGCCAAGGACCTTGATCCTGAGGGGTTGACGTGAAAGGCTCAAAATGATTGAAGCCCGTTGCTTTGGGGGCTTGGGGCTTAAGGTGCAGGGTTTAAAGTTCAGGGTTTCGGGTTGAGGGCTCACAGCTCACAGACCTACAGGGACCCCGAACCGACCTTCTTGGGAGGCTCTGCGCACAGCCCGGAAACCCTACAAACCGTAAGTCTAGAAGCCCTGACCCCAAACCCTAAACCCTAAACCCTAAGCCCTAAACCCCAAACCCTACACCCTAGAATCCTCAAATCTCAAACCCTGCGCCCTGTCTCTGAGCCATTGTCTGCCACATGAATGGGCGTCTTCTTCTTCACGTCCTTGATGTTGACATCGGCACCTGCTTGTTTGAACACTCAAACAGATACCCCTAAGCCCGGAGGAATCTAAAATATCTGTACTTTCTGGGGTTCCAAGGGTTTGGGGTTTTAGGTTGTGGTAAACAGCTAGCTTTAGGGCGCCCTCCCCCCCCAATCCCCCTCCCCCTCCCCTGCCATTGATTCAGATCCGCTGGATGTTCTAAATTTGGAGCCCTTTGTGCCACTCGAAACGTAATGGCTCCGTCTTGCAATCAGGAAGCACAAAAACGAGCTCAATTCAGGAAAACAACCCAGGCGTGTGCTTGAAAACTCTCATCTGCAAGTCCAGGAGGGAAGCCGTAGACCCGACCCCCGACCCTAAACCCTATAAACCCCTACCCCCTAACCCTCTAAAACCTAAACCCTAAACCCTATAAACCCTAATCCCCAGAATAAGCTGCTTGTGAGTTGTTTTTATAAAAAACAATTGCTTTTAACAATTCACCGAGAGCTGCACCCCATTCCAGGAGGCGGCAGACGCCATCGACATCATCATTGGCCGCTGCCACGTGCAGTGCGGTCCTGCATTTCTCTGGACGGCTCGCCACGTGTAGAAAGTAATCTGTAAGGTTTCGGGATATAGCTCCCAAAGAAAGCCGTGACACCATGACCTTGTGAAGTATAAAATGAGCCCTGGCTGCATCATTTCCATCGCCCAGGGCGGGGTGTCTGCACTTGAAGTCCCCTGAGCGATGTTTTCGGGATCCGGGTTTTCAGGCTCCAGGAGATAATCCTCTTAAACCTCATAAGGGGACATGCTTATCTTCAGGGCCTACATGGGCATTTCCGAAATTAGGGGTACTTTATTGGGGTCTTTGTTAAGGGAATCCTACTATCTTGAGGTCTTTATTAGGGTCCTCCTCATTTTTGTAAACCCCACATAGGTCTGAAGTTTAGGGTCCTTCCGTAACTGTACTTATAAACCACTTATCAGCCACTAAGCGCCACTACAATGGTTCTGAATGCGGTTCTAAAGTACAGTTACTATTGGATGAATAAATACCCTGAACCTCCAAGTATTAACCCTAAACCCTAAACCCCAAACCCTAACCCCCACACCCTACCCCCCTAAACCCTAAACCTAAACCCGAAACCCTAAACCCTAAACCCAAACCCTGAACCCTAAACCCTAAACCCTGAACCCTGTCCTTCCCTGTGCATCCGCGGAGTTGACTTTGACACCGTAGGTGTGCAGGAACTCCATGAGATCGTAGCCTGGAGTGGAGTCGGCGCTGGAAGTCGTCCACCCACCACCCTAAACCCTAAACCCTAAACCCTAAACCCTAAACCCTAAACCCTAAACCCTAAACCCTAAACCCTAAACCCTAAACCCTAAACCCTAAACCCTAAACCCAAACCCTGAACCCTGAACCCTGAACCCTTCACCCTGAACCCTAAACCCTAAACCCCAAGCCCCGAAATCCTTGAGTCCTCGGCAGAAGCCCAAAACCAATGAACTGAGGAGTGGACGCTTGTTCTTCGTCACGATATTGAAGGCAGTCTCCCCCTGCCGCGTAAACTCATCAGGGCTTAGGGCTTAGGATTTAGGGATGTGGGGCTTCCCAAGCCAGGGGCGTACGATGGTAGGTTTGGGGGCCCTAGAAAATTTGAAATGTTATGGCTTCATAAGAGGCTTTTATGTAGGGGACCCAAGGGTAAACACAAATCAAACCTGGACCTGCTTAGGGCTTTGTCGGGTTGGTTTAGGGTTTAGGGTTTAGGGTTTAGGGCATATTCCCCCCTTCAGGGATCCTCAACATCGGTACCCCAATTTTGGGAACCCCGCATGTAACACTAAGAGCGTCATCCCTGGCAGTGGGGGAGGCAAGAATTCCTTGTAGACGGGATCCTCCTCGAAGAGTCGCTGTATCCCTAAACCCTAAACCCTAAAACCTTATAAAACCTTAAGGAGAATGGTTCTTAGGAGGGAACAAGGGAATTCGGTGACCTAACTGTAGAACCTAACTGTAGAACGGATGCAAGGTGCCGAATTCCCGGCCTTGTTGGTCTTGGCGGACAGATTCGCCCCGCGGCGGTAGCAGAGCTTTGCCAGGCCCATGTTGCCAGTATGGCAGGCCTTGTAGGGGTTTAGGGGGAGCGGGGCTTTAGGGTTTTAGGGTTTTTTAGGATTTAGGGTTTAGGGTTTAGGGTTTAGGGTTTAGGGTCCTCAGCACTGTGCCCAAGGTCTCAAGGTTTTGGGCTTGTAGGGTTTCGGGTTTGTAGGGTTGAGGGTTTGGGGTTTTGGATTTAGGTGACGACTTGAAGGTCTCTTCAGGTGTGCTTTTCGGAGGTTCATGGCACTTCTTAACCCAATTATGCCTGGCACTTATAACCCAGATATAACCAATCAATCTAGGGTGCATAAGGGCCTTATAAGCTGTTGCATCTATGCATGTGAAATTGAGGTACAAGTACCCCTGACCCTCTAAGTAAGGATTCGGTAGGGCCTCCGGCCCTTAAACTGTAAGCCGCGCACGTATTCCAGCAACGTCTGCTCCGTCAAGACATCTCGCGCATCGATCTCGGTTGTCTCCTCAAAGCAGTCGGGAAACATGTTGGCATTCCCACAACAGGGGACCCCTGTAGTCCTCCCTTCCCCCCCCCCCACCCTGTCGCAGCACGAGTGAACCAGGGTCTCTCAGCCACCGTTCGCAGGTTCAACACCCAGTGAGGTTCAGGGTTTAGTGAGCTTGTTGCTACTGCGCTCCTGTGGGCAAAAAGTGGGGTATTAACCAGAAGTATGATGACAAACTTCGAATCTTCGCTAGACCCTAAACCGGCACTCCTACACCCCCAATCCTTCTGCAATTCCCACAGTCCTAAACGTTAAACCTTTAGCCTTGAATCCGATCTTTCCTGTGCATAGAAAGTAAGCATGTGCTTGAATATACCCGTGGGTTATATGAACAAACTTGAAACACAAATTCAACCCTTCTCAGGCAATTACACCCTAAGCCCTAAACCCTGAACCCTAGCCCTAAACCCTAAACCCTAAACCCTAAACCCTAAAAGCCTCCTGCAAACCCAAACGCCCAGCTTTTTGGGCGATCGCTTATCGCTCGCAGCTGTTGTCCATTTCGAGGGTCCCGCGAGCTCCGGGGGTCACGTCTTCAGCAAGCCTCGGGCCCCCACAAGGGGTTTAGGGTTTAGGGTCTAGGGTTTAGGGTTTAGGGTTTAGGGTGGGGGTTTAGGGTCTAGGGTTTAGGGTTGGGATGTTGCCCCTTATAGATTTTGCAGCAGCTGGGATTTTGGAGCAGGAAGGCCCCCTATACTAACAGTCCTTCATGGGGATTATGATAGGGGGTACTAGAATCCCGCATTAAGGACTGTTAGTACTGTGGGGGAGCATCCCAAGTTTATGGTTTAGGAGGGTTTAAGTAAGGATTGCTGACTTACAGGCCGGGCTTTTGGATTTAGGATTTGGGGGTTGGGCTCGGGGAATCAGAAGGGCACCTCTTCTATGCTGTAATGACCCTACCACAACAGGAAACAAAAGGATACCATTGGCGGCCCTAGAAGCGGGTAGTCGTCCAGGTCTTGTCCCTTAGGTTCCAAGGCAAGGAGATGCAGAGTTCTAGTTCTCAACCTTCCTCAACCTGGAAACATCACCCCCGCTGCAAAAAAAAAAAACACGAACACAACAAACACAAGCACAAAAAAAACCAAGCACTAAAACCAAACACACACACACAGACAGAAAGCCTTTAGGGCCTCTATCAACCTTTAGGGAGGGGGTTTAGGGTTAAGGTTTTAGGGTTTTAGGGTTTTAGGGTTTAGGGTTTAGGTGTTTACTGGGGTGTTCATGCTGGACTAAGGGGCTCAGCGGCATGTCGTTTATCCTATGCTGGCTGAGTCACCTGGGGATGCAAAAGTTCTGCTTCATTTCCGACCTGAGCCATATAGTAGAGCTGCATAGGGTTTAGGGTTTAGGGTTTAGGGTTTAGGGTTTAGGGTTTAGGGCTTAGAGTTTAGGGTTTAGGGTTTGGAGTTTAGGGTTTAGGGTTTAGGGTTTAGGGCTTAGGGCTTAGGGTTTAGGGTTTAGGCTTTAGGGTTTGGGGGTTCAGGGTTTAGGGTTTGGGGGTTTTCAAACACTGAAGCGATTGTTCTTGTAGATCAAGTAACTGAGTGTATTTACTCACAAGAACAGGACATGCAAAACCAACATCTCCTCAACAAAGGCTCCGTGGCCTGCGTGACCGGAGGCATCTTCTGAGGCCAGTAGTTCAGAGATGATGCCAGGGTGAGTACCTCGGATGGCCCCTTAAAACCAGCTGACGAAACATATTCCTGAGTATGATCCTCTTGAACTCTCAACCCTAAACCCTAAACCCTAAACCCTAAACCCTAAACCCCAAACCCTAAACCCTAAACCCTAAACTAAACCGGATCAGGGAGAATATGAAATGTCCCAAGGGCCTACCAAGGTACCGATGGGACGAGGCAGGTACGTATCACAAATGTGTCCATGAGCACACCGAAGGCCAGGACAAACCCGATCTGGTTGTTGCTGGGGACGTCACTTAAAAGGAGTCCGCAGAAGGCGATGGCCATGATCAGACCGGCAGAGGTGATGGTAGGGCCTGTCAAGCACAAGCCGCCACGCACCGCCACCTCGTTGCTGTAGCCTTGCCTCCGCAGCTCAATGACCCGCGCGAAGAGGAAGACGTCGTAGTCGAGGGCCAGGCCAATGATGATGGTGCAAGTGAAGACGGGAGCCGCCCAGTAGAAGCCCCCACCAGGAGGGCTGGTGAATGGATTGTTGCCGCGGCCGCCGGGCAGCCAGTTCAGAGCACCATCCTGGTAGAGCCACACAGCAATCCCAAAGACCGCCACCAGCGGCACCACGACAGTGACGAACATCTTGATGGGAGCCAAAGCGGCCCGAAATGCGACGGCGATGAGGGAGAAGACCGTGAACACGGTGCCGCACACGATGTAGGGGATGCGGTGGTAAGTGACCTCCACAATGTCGAAAACCACGGTTAAGGTTCCGAACAGCATTGGCCTGGAGGAGCTCTGCAGGCGACGGCCCAGAAAGACGGACGGGTCGCCGCTTTCAGCGATGTCGCTCGTGGTGTTGCTGGCTTTGGAGATGGCACTACGCGCAGCGATCACAAAAGGCCAGAGCGTGTCGCTGTAAGGGTCGAAGGGCACGGTGACAGCAATCAAGGCCGTGTGCTCACCAGTCTTCAAGCCCACCAACTTGCCCCACTGCTCACGGTATGACTCTCCGATGTCGCTTGCGAGCTCCAAGAGTTTCTCTGCGGTGATGGGGCCAAATGGGTGCAGGTCGTCCTTGACAGTGGACCGCCATCGAAGGCACTTCAACCCAGTGCTGTTCCGAGCCTCCTCTCCAGCACCCAGGGCTTGAGCGGCCTGGCGAGTTCATGGTTGGGATGGTCATTTTTAAAAAATTGGCTGTCTATTCCTTATTGTGTTTTCGTACCCTTAGTTCATGGTTGGGATTAGTCTTTCTGAAATTTAGATGTCTGTTCCTTATTGAGTTTTCGTACCCTTAAACAAATGTTAAATGTCAAAGCTGAGGTTCCTAAAGCCGCCACGAAAGCAGAGGACAACCACAACTTAAGCATCTTCGTGCTAGATGCCTTCAGCTTTAAAGGATTTGGTCTTAGGAAGACATGTATGATCTGAACCCTAAACCCGAAACCCAAACCCTAAACCCTAAACCCTAAACCCTAAACCCTAAACCCTAAACCCGAAACCCAAACCCTGAACCCCAAACCCTAAACCCTAAACCCTAAACCCTAAACCCTAAACCCTAAACCCTAAACCCTAAACCCTAAACCCTGCCTGAGCAACAGGGAGAGGGAGCAGGGCCGGCCCCAACAAGTCCGAGACTTGCAGGTTGAAGGGCGGAACGGAGAGCTCCTCCAAAAGGAATGGGGAAGTTTAGGGTTTAGGGTTTAGGGTTTAGGGTTTAGGGTTTAGGGTTTAGGGTTTAGGGTTTAGGGTTTAGGGTTTACGTTTTAGGGCTTCGGGTTGAGGGCTTCGGGTTTGATGCGTTTAACGGGCTTAATGGGCATAATGGGTTTAGGGTTTATAGGGTCTATAGGGTTTAGGGTTTATAGGGTTTACAGGGTTTAGGGCTTAATGGTTTAGTGGGTTTCATGGGTTGAATGAGTTTCATAGGTTTAATGGGTTTCATGGGTTTAATGGGTTGTATGGGTTTTGGGCTGCAGGGCCTCAGGTGGTTGTTGCTGGTAGGGCCTTTGCGGTTTGGGGTCTACGGGTGAGGGTTTAGGGCAAGTTTAGAGCTGTGAGTTTATAAGTCTATCGCGAGACGTGTGGATGGGGGGGGCGGGTACATGATGTGGTGGTTTGCAGGGCTCGGGTGAGGGCTCCTGGGTTTCAGGTTACAGGTGCTTGAGGGTGTCAAGCTTTTGGTTTGGGGAACAGGGTCTAGGCTGGGTCCGGGTTGGTCGTGGGTTCAGGGCTCAGGGCCCTGTGATTTAGACTTTGACCTGGGCTTAGGGTTGAGGGCGTGGGGCTTAGGGCCTCTGGTTGAGGGTGCCGGTCTGTGCCGGTCTCAGGGTCCTCCAGAAGTGTCTGGCCCAGGCGACAGGACGCGTCGAAGTACTCGTCACTGCGCACGGTGAAGTTTGTTGCTTCACTTGCCTCAACTGGTCTTCTACCCCTTCTACCATGGTACGTACAACAAACTAAAACTCAAAATGTATGTTTTAACATGGCTTGGTTGCCGGTACAAGGATGTACTGCGGGCTGAGCTTCCCTGCAGGGAACTCCCGGATGAGGTGCTGGTAAGCAATGCTGGTGTCCGAGCGCGTGGGGAAGGTCAACTGGTTGGCAAAACTCTCGTGGTAGTGGAAGAGTATGGCGCAGGCGGGGAGCAGGAACGCCAGGCAAACCAGCGGCACCACAACGACCCCTGGCTTCGTGGTCACGGCCCTTGCTATGATGGGCCAGCAACTCTTGCATCTTCCGGGCTGGCAGCCTCTTCGTCTGCTGCGCCGCTGCTTCAGTGCCTCGGTAGTCTATCGCCACCATCGTATAACAAGGGTTACTTTGTAAGGGGGTTTAGGGTTTAGGGTTTAGGGTTTAGGATGTAGGGTTTAGGGTTTAGGGTTTAGGGTTTAGGGTTTAGGGTTTAGGGAACCTTGAACCAAAAAAAGGGAACGGGTACCCCTGGGCCACCCAGGTGCTTCTGCTCCAAAGATGCCCGGGAAGGCGCAGATGGTGCAAGGAGTCAGGGTCAGGTTTGAAGCCGCGCAGAGGAAGACCTATACTGAACTTGGAACCGTAGCAAAAACTTATCATTTTCGCTGTTTCTTAGGAATTTCTTAGTACCCCAAAAAAGAGACTATTTCCAAGTATCCCTAAGAGACCGTCAGTGAGGCTCCGAGTCCGATCGTCGCGATGCCGCCGCTGGGATAGAAGAGGACCCCCACGTAGCAGATGATTAGCACTGAGCTGCTGATGAGGACCACGTGCCCACTCCTCACTGCACGTTTCAGATACTTTTTGAAAGGCCCTCGAATGCCTGCGGGGAGAGCGAGTCCCACTCACAGAAAAACCGTAGCACAAGGAGCACCAGTAGCTAGGTGAGATCCTTTTGTGGCAAAAAGATGCTGGCTGCGTCCGTTGCTTCTGCCTCAGCGTTGACCGGAGCGCCGCCTCTGTGGAAGCCCCCGACTGCACCTCTTCGGCATAGCGGGTGAGCATGAAGAGTGAGTAGTCCTTGGTATCAGGATGGGCTATTAGAGCCCAGAATCCCCGTAATCAACCCTATAAAGGGCGTTTTTTCAGGGGTTATAGTAGGGTAGAATAGCCCGTCCTGGTAGCCCAGCACCCATATGGCAACGAGGGTACCCCGTTTTTGGGGGAGTTAGCTTCTTTCTATAAGGGAACCTGGACCCAGAAAAAAGGAGTTAAAAGGGCACCACTGGGTTACCAAGAGTCGATGGCCAGGGCAATGCCCAGGAAGGCCATGGTTGAAGGCGCAAGCGGTGAGATGTCGACGACGTACACGGCGAAAGGCAGAAAGATCCCTAGGGACGCTGCAAGGCTACAAGCCAGGCAGCCTTGGTATCCCAGTAACCGTAGGGCACCATTTTTTGTGGGGGGTTGGTTACTTTATAAGGGTACCTAGAACCAAAACCAAATTATAAAAAAGGGCACGGTTACTGTATAAGGGTACCTAGAACCATACCAAAAAAAAGGGGTAGAAGGGGTACCACTGGGCTAGCAAGCAGCAGATCGGAATAATCATAAGACGGAGGGAACCGACTCTACTCGCCAGCACGAGCAGGGCAAAGGGCATCACAATGATGTCCTTCTTCTCGATGTCCTGCCTTGTGGAGGAAAGCGTGTCCGTAAACAGAGCAAGCTGGCCAGCAATGCTGACAGACACGGGCTCGCGTTCTCGCGCGCCCTGCTGGTGAAGATCTTGCACCAGCTGGCGAACCTCGAAGGGTAGTGATATGGGGCCTTAATACAAGGGCATATAAGAGGCATATAAGGGGACCCCCTTTTCAGGGCTCATAGTAAGGGACCGTGTAACCCTAAACCCTAAACCCTAAACCCTAAACCCTGAACCCTAAAAACCGAAGAGAGCCTCCTTCAGCATGCCGATGACCTCCCGCTGCCGGTTCCCAACTGTCCACGAGAGTTGGAAGAGCAGCGTCTCCTTGGAGGCTGACCTGACTTGTGACTTTAGAGCCCTCTGAAAATGGAAGTTCAGGGTTTTAGGGTTTAGGGCATCTATGAAAAGGTTCCCTTATGAGGACAAACGGGAAAATATTACTAATAACAATAACAAAACTAATAACAATACTAATCATAGTAATAGTAATGAACATAATAATGATCATCATGATAATAATAATAATAAGAATATTAACAAACATAATAAAAAATAAGAAGAAGAAGAAGAAGAAGAATGACAAAAGAGGATCCCCCATAAGGCACAGCCCAGGTGACAGGAAGGGGCTTGGAAGGCCGAGCCTGGCGGGCGCCGAAGCTTCGAACTGGAAGTGGTCGGTCCAGTTGTGCAAGACGCCGGGATGCGCGGCGGCCAGGGACAGGCAGAGATCCTTACTGCTCCAAAATAACCAAGGAAAAAAAGGGTTAACAATTTACTATTCCTACTAAGTAAGGAAACCCAAAAAGTTTTGAAGTTGAACTGTTGGCTAGATGAGGATCTCTCAACTCGTGCACTGACCGGTTCGCGAACTGAAGGGCCGCTATGCCGGAGGGACATCTCCCCACGCAGCTGATGAGAACCACCTCCACATCCTGGCAAAGAGGGAAAGGAGGCACGTAAACCCTAAGCCCTAAGCCCTAAGCCCTAAACCCTAAGCCCTAAACCCTAAACCCCTAAGCCCTAAACCCCAAACTCTAAACCCTAAACCTCCCTTTGAGGCAACCCCCCGGCCTGGTTCACACTGTCCGGAAACTCTCGCTTGAAGGCCGCTTGAGCCTCTACAGTTTGCTTTAAAGAACCCCCCACCAAAAAAATATTTAAAAAAAAAAACACAAAAGACCATGATCCCTATATTACCCTTATAAGGAGGAATATGAAATTCAACAATCCCTGTATTACCCTTGATAACCCTAGACCCCTACACCCTTTTATAAGGAAGAGTATACATATATATATATGTATATATATATATATATTTACTTATTTATTCATACATACATATATATATATATATGTTTTTTTTTTTGTTTGTTTTTTTTCTTTTTTTTTTTGGGGGGGGGGGGTGTTCTTAAAGCAATTCGTAGGCCTCGTAGGTCTCCGTGCCCGGCACCGGCTCGAAGGTGAACTTGCAGTGGTCCACCAGCTGCAGGCCAAACGGCGCGCAAACGGCACCTGTTGTTTAGGGTTTAGGGTTTGGGGTTTAGGGTTTAGGGTTTCGGGTTTAGGGTTTAGGTTAGGGTTTAGGGTTCAGGGTTGGTTTAGGGTTTAGGGTTTAGGGTTCAGGGTTGGTTTATGGTTTAGGGTTTAGGGTTTAGAGCTTAGGGTGTACCACTCTTTGCTTCAGGAACCTCCACAAAAAAACTACAAAGGTTCTTCCTCACCAGGGTAGTTTGCTTTAGAAACCCCAAAAAAGAAATGCGATCTTCCTTACTAGGGTACTTTAGGGATTACTATCTTCCATTTTTCCGGGGGGGAGGGGGGGGGGGGGGGGGGGGCGTTCTTAAGCAAATAGCAGTTTAAGGGTTTAGGAGACCACGAAGTAGCCATCATACGCCACGTCAGAGGCTCCGAGCCTCGTAGTTTTGGCCCTAATAATATACGGGCCTTTATGATTAGAACAGGGATTCGGGGGTTATTATGGTAGAAATATAAAAGGGACCATGAGGGAATACTACAAAATCCCTCGGACGAAGTTTGGCGGGACTTTGAAGGTTAAGTTCTGTGACCTCGTGGGTCTCTACTCGAGAGCGAGCCTCGCAGTTCAGGGGCCTTAGGTTCAGGGCAAGTAGCAGGTTTTATACTAGAGGTTTTAATAGGGTTTACAATCGGGTTTATAATTGGGTTTAACCATATAAGGTTCTTAATGGGCATATAATACTAGTGTTTAAAACTTAGGGTTTAAAACAGGGTTTAGCAGGCCCAGCTATTGCCCCTGCAATATAAGGGCCTTAAGAATTTGAAAGGGCTTTGGGGGTTATTGTCGTATAGCTATACAGGGACCATAAGGGAATACTATTTAGTAGTTCTTCCTAAACCCTAAACCCTAAACCCCCCATGACGGAATACCAATTTTTCCGACCCCTAAAGTAACAAACCCTAAACCCTAAACCCTAAACCCATGTAAGAACCAGCAAGGCGCCCAGCAGCAGCCAACAGCCGAGCACGGTCCGAGGCCGCCGGATTAGCGCTACGCACAGCTTTTCCAGCGCATCCATGGCGGTTTAGGGTTTAGGGTTCAGGGTTCAGGGTTTAGGGATAGTAGGGTTTGGGGTTTAGGGTTTAGGGATAGCAGGATTTAGGGTTTAGGGATGGTAGGGATATTCAGGGAAGCCATGGCTGTCTTGTCCCACTTTGGCCAGTGCTATCAGAGCCTCTAGAGGACGTGCAACGGGTAGAGTAATGCTGTAGTATGTGGTCAGGTATGCGCTTACTTGTCCAGAATCCTTGGGGAACTAAAGGTTAACCTATGGGAGTATCAAGGAATATAATACCCCAAAACCCAAAACCCAAAACTCTTGAACCCTAACTATGGTTGCCTACTCCTCAGTGTATGAGCCGCCTCGCGCGACTTGTTCTTGGCTCCTTAGAGCCCGACCGGCAACAACAGGACGCAAGCCCACATCTCCCCTGACAAGCTTCCGCAAGGTTTAGGGTTTAGGGACGTTTAGGGGTTTAGGGGTTAGGGGTTTAGGAGTTTAGGGTTTGGGACCACACCGGAAGATTTTAGGGCCGCGCAGGATTTGGGAAAACCTGAGAAATTCCACGTGAGCGCTGTGGCCCACGCCAGCAATCGCTCGAGCATGTTCATGAGCACGGTGCCGTTCCTGCGAAGGGATAGAATCTGAGATGACATTCCTGCACTACGCGCCTTCTTGGATTCTTGGGTATAGACGCCAGATGGACCATAACGTAACTATGCCACGGCAGACGCCCAAGCGTGGGAGACCATGGGGACATGCAAGAGCCCAGCAAGGATAGGAACGGGAGAGACCACAGACAGTGACTGCCACAAACAGGCGCTGGTGCAGCAAACCGAGCCTGGTCACGATCTGCTTGAGGTTGAAGGTCTTTAGCTTTTCTCTTTGCCTGCATTGCAAGATGCACACGTTGCCATGGATGCGTGCACAGCGTTGGCAAACGAAAACGAAGTTTCCCACGGACTCACGAGACACACAGTGCATTTGCACTCCAAGAATAGAATTAAACTAGAATTAAACACTAAACCCTAAACCCTAAACCCTAAAAGCCCTAAACCTCAAACCCTAAACCCTATAAACCCTAAACCCTAAACCCCCAAAGCGTGCATGCTGGGTAGCCGGCGGCTCAAAAGCCGTCTTCAGATCCGAGAAGGGATCTGGCGTGCTCCGCGACTTTGTCTCCTGCAGGCCACACTCGCCCAATACCCTAAACCCTAAACCCTAAACCCTAAACCCTAAACCCTGGAGGGAGGTATCGCAGCGGAAAAAAGTAGCAAGTAGCATTCTGCGCGGTGACCTAATTCGGCACCTATAATCCCAAGGATTACCATTCACCAAAGCTTTTGCGCGAAACTGCCGGCTTACCTCCACCTATACTGTACGCTGTGAAACCCTATGCCCTAAACCCTAATCCCTAATCCCTAAACCCTAAACCCTAAACCCCTTCAGCCCATCTCCTGCGAGAGCTTGGAAGGCTTCCTGGACTGCTGTTCATGTGACAGGCAAAGAACCCTAACCCCTAAACCCTAAACCCTAAACCCAACGAACTGGGTGCGGACCTCTCACTCATAGCGTCTGAAAGAGGCATTCCGCCACAGTTCGGCATCAACTGCAAGTGTTGAGTCACAAAATCTTGGGGTTTAGGGTTTAGGGTTTAGGGTTGAGTCCCAAAGTATGAACCCTTAAAAAAGGGGGACCCTCATACACCCCCTTATATGCCCTAGAGCAACCCAAGGGCCCAAAGAACTACCCATAGACGAATGACAACATAATCAGAAGCACTATGGTTCCACCCTGCCCAAGCCCCGCCCCAAACCGTCATCGCTCAGGACGTGGCTGCGTGGACTGGGGAGGAGAGGATGAATACCCTCCCGTCGGCTGCCTGCAACGGCCACGGCTGGTCGTCGTTGCCAACGGAAAGCGCACTTCACCCCAAACATGACGAGATTCCAAACTTCCACGAACCTTTGGAATGCCCTTCAAGCCGCTTAGCCCCTAGAAGCCGGGGGGGGGGGGGGGTTCTCTAAATGAGGGTCTCTTTTGGGATCCTTATTGAAAGGGTAGGGGACCGAAAACCGAAAAGGGACCTGCCCACGTCATGTATCATGTAAACCGGAGACTTGTAGGACTGGGGCGAGGCTGGGGGAGGGGGGGGGGGGTAGGACAGGATCCCAAACCCTAAAGCCCCCAAGAGCCGAAACGTCCCAATGCGCCAAAGTGGGCCGCTTGGGATTCTAAGGGCTGTAGTTTTCGCTTTAAGGGTGTTGGGCTTAGAGTTTGGAGGTTTACAGGAATTGATGTTGGAGGTTTTAGAGGCGTTGAAGGTGCAAATTTACAGGTTCGGAGCCCGTAAACGTCCAGACCAGATTCCGCGAAAAGAACCCTCAACCCACAAATCCCATCCCACCTCTCAGATGCCTGAACTGGCGGAGACCTCGAGAGAACGGCAGAAAGGCCTACACTCTCTGAGGTCTCAACGGGGTGCAGGGTTCAGGGCACCCCCTCTAGGGTGTAGGGTTTGTAGGGCTTAGGAACTGAAATTAAGTGCCCATAAGAGGGCTATACAGTGGAGGTTGTGTCTTCACAAACCGGACGTTCCATCAACCCTGTCTGAAACCTGTCTAGACCCTTCGACCCTCAATGCCAGCTGATAACCCATCGGTAAGGCGCTCGCATGGCTTGTGGTGACCGCGGCTCTTCAGCAACAGCCTGCCAAGTCTACTTGGGGTTTTGGGGTTGAGGCTTTCGGCCTTAAGCCTTAAGTTTAGGCTGTTCCCCCTCATACTAGCAGTCAACAGTCCTTAATTGGGACTATAGCACCCCCCCCTGTTATGATCCCTATTAAGGACTGCTAGCCGAAGGGGGAACATCCACAGGTTCAGAGTCCCTGAACCCTAAACCCTAAACCCTAAACCCTAAGCCCTAAACCCGAAACCCTAAACCCCAAACCCTAAGCCCTAAACCCTAAACCCTAAACCCTAAACCGTTCGACGCTGCACCCGGCCTCGAGAGTGGAGGCAAAGGCCAAGTTGGCCGTCACGGGACGATATTGCACGGATCCTGTGGGATCATGGGCGAGACATGGGTGCTTGAGGATCGCTGCAAGTGGCTTCTCCCTAAACCCTAAACCCTAAACCCTAAACCCGAAGCCCTAAAACCCCAAGCCCTAAACCCTAAACCCCAAACCCGAAGCCCTAAACCCGCAACCCTAAACCTTAAACAGTGAGCAGCTCCTGCATCGATGGCGGAGTCCGCGCCCAGCAGGAGAATCTCGGCAAGATGCCAAATACGTGGGATTCAGGGTTTAGGGTTTAGGGTTAAGGGTTTAGGGTTTAGAGTTTAGGGTTTAGGGCGTCAAGCATGTTCGGCGGCACGCTTGTTTGTGGGGCCAGCTATCTTGACTGCAACGCTTACGGCTCCTTTTTTGGCCGACCCTATAAGGTTTATAGGGTTTATAGGGTTGATAGGGTTCATTGGGTTTTGGGTTTTAGGGTTTCGGTGTTTTAGGGTTTAATTAGGGTTTAGGGAAACCCCGAATCCCACCCTCACATGACAGGAGCGGCTGTGTGATGCACCCGCCTTCATCAGCGCATTCTCCATCTTGCGGAGGGTCACCTATCCCCGCATCCGCACGCAGGCCGCGGATTCTGGAGTTTCAGATCCAACCCTAACCCTACGGCTCGAAGGACTCTTAATTGAAGGTTGTTGGGCCCAAAGGCCGTATTGCAAAAGTTTTTGTTGGCCATGCTGAGCCTAAGGGTAAGGTTTTAAGGACTGATACTTTTCAGAGTTTTTTCCATCTTAAACTACAGTACCAAAAAACAAAAACGCAACACGTTTAAGATCTGCTTTTGGAGTTTTTTCGGGGCACAGAGGGGAGATTCTCAAAGGTCTTTTAGCCACCTTGACTGTAAGCACCAAGAGCTTAGGGAAGGCGCCCTTGGTCGGCACTAGCGAGGACGGCGACGAAAAAACAAAATCGCCATTGGATTGAATATTGGATCTCGTAGACGATATTCTCTGAAATATGTTATGGTATAAGAGACGTATGCTCCCCAAATCACCCATTCAACACGAATCTTCCATAGAGATTCATATGAGGAGAAATGACTCGGGGGCTTTAGGGCTTAGGGGTTGCGAGCTTATAGGGCCTAGGACCTCTCGTGGTGTCTTCCCCCAATCCTAAACCCTGAACCCTGAACCCTAAACCCGGAACCCTAAACCCTAAACCCTAAACCCTAAACCCTGAACCCTGTACCCTAAACCCTAAACCCTGAACCCTAAGCCACCTTGTCCAGCACGTAGAAGGCAACTTCGTCTGCACCGGCGTCTTTGACCTGTGGAGCTTTCAGGTTTCAGAGTTCAACCTCATCCGTTTAGGGTTTAGGGTTTAGGGTTTAGGGTTTAAGGGAGAAGGCTTCGCGAACCCTTGAAGCATAAGCCGTAGACCCTAAACCTGCCGAGACCTGAAACCCTGGATAACCTTAAGCCGCCTCAACGCCCAGACCTCTGGCAGGATCTGGAAAGTAGAGCCCTAAAGGGTTTAGGGTTTAGGGTTTAGGGTTTAGGGTTTCGGGTTTAGGGTACCTAGAACAAACCCATTAAGGGTACCCAGAATGAACCCAATAGTAGCACATGGTACTACATCAAGGGCTCTGCAGTTCTATTCTAAACCCTCTATCCGGAACCCTAAGACCCTTAAAACCTTTAAAGCCCCAACAGCTCCTGAAGCCCTTTAGGGTTTAGGGTTTAGGGTTTAGGGTTTAGGGTTTAGGGTTTAGGGTTTAGGGTTTAGGGTTTAGGGAAGCCCTATAGGCCAGGGGTCTGAGCAGAATTCACTGGTGGGCCTGAGGGTGCGCGGTGTCATGCAGGAAGCGCCACAAGGCCCGCATCACCTGCGGCTTGGGTTGAGGGTTGAGGGTTGAGGGTTGAGGGTTGAGGGTTGAGGGTTGAGGGTTGAGGGTTGAGGGTTGAGGGTTGAGGGTTGAGGGTTGAGGGTTGAGGGTTGAGGGGTGAGGGTTGAGGGTTGAGGGTTGAGGGTTGAGGGTTGAGGGTTGAGGGTTGAGGGTTGAGGGTTGAGGGTTGAGGGTTGAGGGTTGAGGGTTGAGGGATGGCGCAATGGAACTATATCTAGAACTTAGGGCTTCGGGTTCAGAGGGCTCTGGTTGTCGTTTAGGGCTTGAGGGTACCGGGGTTTGAGCTTCATAGGGGTTCAGGGTTTTGTATGTTTTTTGGGGGGTTGAGGGCTTCTAGGTTGCTAGGTTATACTAGACCCAAGAGTAAGCTAGAACATAAGAACGGTGCCCTTGTTTGGGTTAAAGGGGCTTGTCAGGGAACCTAAACCCAAAAAAACGGGAGTAAGGGCCCACCCTGGGTCCTAGTGGGGGGTTCTGGGGACCCTAAGCCCTAAACCCTAAACCCTAAACCCTAAACCCTAGACTGCGGCTGACGGCTTAAAAAACCTATCCTCATGCCTACATCCATGAGCCCCCAAACTCCCCAAAGAAACCCCTGAAAAACGCTGAAGCACCCTTAAAGAAGCCGAACAAACCCCGTAAAGAAGCCGTGACAACCCTAAACCCTATAAACCCGAAAAAACATAGACAAAACCTGACAACCCCAAGACCTTGTACCCTAAACCCTAAACCCTAAACCCTAAACCCTAAACCCTAAACCCTAAACCCTAAACCCTAAACCCTAAACCCTAAACCCTAAACCCTAGCCCTAAACCCTGAACCCTAAACAACGCCTGCGCCACAAGCTCGGCTCCACCAGGTGGCAGGCGACCCGTGCGCATCATGGCCTGCTGAACCTTGCGTGTTTAGGGTTTAGGGTTTAGGGTTTGGGGTTTAGGGTTTAGGGTTTGGGGTTTGGGGTTTGGGGTTTGGGGTATGGGTTTTGGGGTTTCGGCTTTCGGGTTTGGGGTTTAGGGTTTGAGGTTTGGGGTTAAGGGTTCAGGGTTTGCGGTTTAGGGCATTGGGCATTGGGGATTAGGGTTTAGGATTTGCGGTTTAGGGTTTAGGGTTTGAGGTTTGGGGTTTAGGGTTTAGGGTATGCGGTTTAGGGTTTGGGGGGGGGGGGGGGGGGCTGGTTGAAGGTTCATGGATAGTTGTAAGTAGAGTTATCACTCGCCTATATAAGGTTGTAACCAGATGCATTCTAGTTTTCCCACGTACAAAAACAACTACCCATGAACCTCCGAGTGTGGTTTAACGTAAGGTTTAGGATGTGGGGTTGCGAGGCAACCCAAAAGATTGAGGCTTTCGTGCCTAAGGGCCATTCAGGGCTTATAAGGGTTCGAATGCTTTGGGCTTGGGGAGTCTTCGGGCCTAGGGTTTTAGAATGTAAGGGGCCTTGTGATAAGGGCTGAAAACCTTAAACCCTAAACCCTAAAACCTAAACCCTTGGGGGGCTTAAGGTGGTTTAAGAAAACCTTAAACCCTAAACCCTAACCCCTAAACCCTTGGGGGGCTTAAGGTGGTTTAAGATGAAGTGAGGGTCTTAGGGCTCTGGAGTTCAAAGGCTTTTTGGGCTTTCTGGATTTTAGGGATAAGGGATTTGGGGGATTTTTGTGCCTGAGGTGAGCTGGGTTGAGGGGCTCAGGGGTTTGGGATTTAGGGGTTTAGGGGTGTTTAGGGGTTGAGGGGTTCAGGGGTTTGGAGCTTGAGGGGTTGAGGGTACTTGGGTTACATGGCACGAACTCTGTTTTTTTAATCTCAAGCTTTGCACTTGACATTGGTTTTGGGGTCGGTAAGCTGTAGGACGTTTTGGGGGTGAGGGCTGCAAGGGTTTACCAGAGCGAGAATGAGAAAGGCGATCCTCAGAACTCGAGGGTTTCGGGGTTTAGCGTCTAGTCGGCTACCCACCTGAATGCTTTCTAGGGGGCCTCTACCTTGCAATCAGAATTCATAGCCCTAAACCCTAAACCCTAAACCCTAAACCCTAAACCCTAAACCCTAAATTAAGGGTTTTGGTCAAGTTTCGGGAACTGGGTTCCACTGGTGGTGTGCCCCGCCTGGCTGAGAAGTGCTTCTGGCACCGGCGCTGCAGCTGCTGCCACCAAGCCCTGTTGAGTAGCTTAGGGTTTAGGGTTTAGGGTTTAGGGTTTAGGGTTTAGGGTTTAGGGTTTAGGGTTTAGGGTTTAGGGTTTAGGGTTTAGGGTTTAGGGTAGGGTTTAGGGTGTAGGGTGTAGGGTGTAGGGTTTAGGGTTTAGGGTTTAGGGTTTAGGGTTTAGGGTTTAGGGTTTAGGGTTCAGGGTTTAGGGTTTAGGGTCTAGGGCTATTATACCCTGTAACCCCTTAAACAGGCCCTTTAAAGGGTTGATTGTGGGGGATTGTAGGGCCTAGTAGCCCATCCTGGTAGCTGTCTGGCTGGTGGGTTTGCGGCGTTTTGAACCCCTTTCGCGCTGATAATAGGGCGAAGGGTTCTGCGTCTGGAGCTTAGGGGGACATTTGACTAAAATGGATGCTCGCCTCCCGCCTCGTCCCATCTGCGCATTCGCTGGGGCGCAGGGCGTAGGGTTTTGCAAGCGTCTGGAGCTTCCGGGGCCATCATGTGACCAGAAGTCTACCCAGCTCATGATGCTCGCCTCCCGCATCGTCACATCTGCCCAGTCAGTGGGCGAAGGGTTTCGCAAGCTTCTGCAGCTTGAGGGGGCATGTGACCAGAAAACTACCCAGCTGATGCTCTTGATGCTCGCCTCCCGGCACGTCACATCTGCACAATCACTGGGGCGAAGGGTTTCGCAAGCTTCTGCAGCTTGAGGGGGCATGTGACCAGAAAAGCACCCAGCTGATGCTCATGATGCTCGCCTCCCGCCCTGTCACTTGTGCACAATCACTACCCAGCTGATGCTCAGCGATTGTATTGCGCCCATGAGAGTGTGCTGCATTCGAGGCTACGGCTATAAGGCTTGAAGATCCACAACTAGACCCAAGAGTAACCTGGGAATTAAAAAAAGGTGTGCCCTTTCGGTTTAAAAGGTGCTTTAAGGGAACCTAAACCCCCAAAAAGCAATAAGGGCCTACTCTGTCTGGGTCCTAGACAAAGAGGGTTGAAGTGATTTTGTGGGAGGCGCCCTCAACGCCTCGTTGCCCTGCAGGTCTAACAGGTCCAAGGGCATCAGCTTCTTCGTGTTTTGCCGCTCCATGACTGCAGTCCTCAGTACTTTTGGGCATTGCACTAGGGTTTAGGGTTTAGGGTTTAGGGTTTAGGGATGGAAGGTCTTTGCGTTTAGGGTTGGGAGCTTGGGGTTTCGTCCGGGGCTGAGGGTTGTTTTTTCAGGGCGCTTCTGTCACCTGTTCCCAAGGCACTACGACAGAGCCAGCAGCTCGGACGTCAAAGCGATACCCCCTAAATCCTGCGTGCAAGACGCAGTTGACCAAACCAAGTCAAATAAACAAAGCTCTACACGCACAGCTTTAGCAGACAAGCCATGACTCGCAGCTACGGCTACATATCAGTCTAGGGTCCTTAAGGGACGGGGTTCAACGGGGGGTATGTAACCCAAGGTTCCCTAACACTCCCCGGTAAGGCTTAAGAACCGAATATAAAAACATTTCTCCTTATAAGGGCCATGTAGGAATCATTATTTATTCTTTTTCTTGGAGGAAATCTTAGGCAAATGACCCTAAACCCTAATTAAACCCTGATCCCTGAACCCTGAACCCTGAACCCTAAACACATCAGGGGTAAGGCTGCAGCATGAAGTAGCCGACCGACCGCAGGGAGAACAGGTTCTCTGCCAGTGAGATGAAGGAAAGACTGGCGAGGCGACAGGGTGCAGGTTTAGGGCTTAAGGCTTAGGGCTTAGGGTTTAGGGTTTAGGGGTTAGGGGTTAGGGTTTAGGAGGTTTTCGGAAGGGTCCGGGGCTTCAGACGGTATAAGAAAAACATTGGGGTTCAGGCTCTACACGGTTTTAAGGGGTTAGGGTTTCGAGCTTCTAAACCCTCAAGCCCTAATTCCTAAACCCTCAAGCCCTACACCCTAAACCCTCAACCCTAAACCCTAAACCCTCAAGCCCTAAACCCTAAACCCCAAGCCCTAAACCCTAAACCCCAAACCCTCAACCCCTCAAGCCAAAAACCCTAAACCCTAAACCCTGAAGCCCTAAACCCTAAACCCTAAACCCCAAACCCTGAACCCTAAAGCTGCCAGGCCAACCTGGGAGCTGTGGTGATCAGCTGGCAAAGGTCGGAGCAAGAGTCCATGGTCAGCAGGTTCTGTGACCTTCAGAAGGTTTAGGGTTTAGGGTTTAGGGTTTAGGGTTTAGGGTTTAGGGTTTAGGGTTTAGGGTTTAGGGTTTAGGGTTTGAGAAGTGTGGGGCTTAGACTTGCTGTGTAGGGCTTACAGGGTTGGGGTTGGCAGGCTTCCTTGAGGGGTTTGGGGGTCTAGGAGTCCCGAAACATCAATTAAACCCTCAACCCTAAACCCTAAGCCTTCACCCCGAAAGCCTAAACCCTAAACCCTAAACCCTAAACCCTAAACCCTAAACCCTAAACCCTAAACCCTAAACCCTTGCAGCCCCTGCTCTTGCAGGGGAACCCGCGCACTTGTCCTCCGAAGGCTCGACTACTTCCGGGGCCCAGGCAAGTCCAGTGTCTGAAGGGAAGGGCAGTCATTCAGAGCCTTGCGCTCTCCCAGGGTTCAGGGGTTTAGGGTTTAGGATTTGGGGGTTTGGGGGTTTAGGGTTTCGGGTTTAGGGTTCAACCCTAAACCCTATACCCTTTTTGGGTTTTGAGTTTAGGCTTGAGGGTGGATCTAGCGCTGTACCCCCTAAACTCCTAAACCCCGACGCTCCCAGACCCCTGGGAGGATCCAAGAAGTAGAACTCCGAAATAGTACCCGAAGCTATGGGGTCATTCTGGATATTGCTTGGTCCCCCATACACCACCATTGTCCATCTCAGCCCTGAGCCACCTTAGCCCCAGAAGCCCCATACACCCTCAACGAGCTGCCTGAAAACAATCTTGTTCCCAAAGAACCAACAGAACCAACATTGTGTGTTACTCCCAAACACTAAGCCCTAATCCCTAAACAAAAACCCTAAGCCCTAAGTCCTAAGCCCTAAACATCCCTAAACCCTAAACCCTAAACCCTAAACCCTAAACCCTAAACCCTAAACCCTAAACCCTAAACCCTAAACCCTAAACCCTAAACCCTAAACCCTAAACCCTAAACCCTAAACCCTAAACCCTCACCTGAACCAGCGTGGCAAAGGCCGTGTCGTTGATTGAGGCTCCCCGGAGCAGGGCTTGCTGCAGGTCCCGCTGTCGCATCCACCTCGGCTTCGAGTTTAGGGTTTAGCGTTTGGGGTTTGGGGTTTGGGGTTCTGGGTTTAGGGTTTAGGGTTTGGGGTTTGGGGTTTAGTCTTAGGGTTTAGGGTTTAGGGCTTAGGGTTTAGGGTTTGGGGTTTGGGGTTTGGGGTTTGGGGTTTGGGGTTTGGGGTTTAGGATTTAGGGTTTGGGGTTTGGGGTTTGGGGTTTGGGGTTTAGGGCTTAGGGCTTATCTGTTTTGGGGTTAGGGTTCAGGGTGTATAGGTTTCAGGGTTTACGCTTCAGGGCTAATAAGGGAGCCCAGCGTTTGGGGTTTTATGGGGTTTAGGGGAGGTAAGGGAACCCTGAACCCTGTTCCGGAGGAGGCAAGGCTGCTGAGTTTGGCGCTTAGGGCCCTACACCCTAAACACTAAACCCCAAACCCCAAACCCTAAACCCTAAATCCTAAACCCTAAACCCCAAACCCTAAACCCTAAACCCTAAAACCTGATGTGGGCATTCCAGGGGTTCTCGGCCGGATGAAAGAGCCGTGGCCGGGCCATCTGGGTTAGGAGCATGGCTGAAGCTTTAACAGTCACAACAACCACTTGGTGGCCCAGTAGCCACATCACAATAGGAGTACCCTAAACCCTAAACCCTAAACCCTAAAGACTAAACCCTAAACCCTAAACCCTAAACCCTAACCCCTAAACCCCCTAAGCCCTAGAGTACCTAGGACAAAGGGATGTTCGCCCTTATACCAACAGTGCTTAAGAGGGATTGTAGTACCCCAATAGGGATGTGAATACAAGGGACATCTTGCAGTGAGGGTACCCTTTTTGGGGGTTGGCTTACAAGTGAACCTGGAAGCAAACAAAGGGTGAAAGGGTTTAGGGTTTAGGGTTTAGGGATACCAAGAGCACAATCGCAACAACGGACTAAAGCCCCAAACCGCGACTCCCAAAACTTGCAACCAAACCCCAAGCCCTAAAAGGTTCGAAGGCTCCTGCTTTCGAGGGTTTAGGGTTTAGGGTTTCGGGTTTAGGGTTTAGGGTTTAGGGTTTAGGGTTTAGGAAAGACCCAACATCTATGGTTGCTTGTGATTCGATAATCTCTGAAGGGGCTGGATTTGGTAGCCTACAAAAATGCAGGATGTGGGTTCATAACGCCCTCAAACCTTAGACACGAATCGCAAATCCTTGGCCCTAAAACCCCTGAATCAAGAAGGCCCGAATCACACATTCAGACCTTTCCGGGTTAAGGTTCGGGCCCCCCAAACCCAACGTTTCCCTGAAAGGTTGTGAATCTAGGACCCATCAATTAGGGTTCTTCGGTCGCCTGCAAACAGTAGGTGTGGGGTGCTCAAGGTACAGCCCCCTAAAAACCGTAAACCCTAAGCTTAAACCCTAAACCCTAAACCCCCAAAGCCGGCTTGGCTCAACACTGGTCGACCACTCGCATCAACTTGGTGGAGACCTCCATGTGTTTTAGGGTTTAGGCTTGGGGTTCAGGGATTAGGCTTTGGGGTTTGGGGTTCAGGGATTAGGGTTTGGGGTTTGTTTGCTTCCATACAGCAAAAGTCTTAAAGCTTATGTACACAGAAGGCTTAAGTTCAGGGAGTTCAGAGGCGGTTCTCGATGCTGTCATTCAGCACAGAGCATTTGTTTGGATGCATCCGCAGCCATGTTACAAGGAGACCTTAGGAGTTTCTACGTAGAGAACGCCGATGACACAAACTCGATCGCTTGGCTAAGGATTGTCTTGAAACAACCTTTGTGTGGATCGGAGCCGGGTTTAACTCGACCGGAAACGACAGTTGACAAGAAATTTGCGCCTGGCTGCCACGTTCGCGGAGCGCTTGCTCGTCGTCGCTGTTTCCAGCCCTGCGCAACAGCGAAACATTGAAACCGACACCCTAAACCCTACACCCTAAGCACTAAACTTCAAGCCCTACACACTAAACCCTACACCATACACCTCGTAAACCCTAGACAAACCCTAAACGGGCAGAAGTGCTGGCACGCTGTGAATGCAGGCCTGTGAAACACACTGGCTGGCCTTGCTGGCCTTTTGGACCGGCTGCATTTTTTCTAGGGCTTAGGTAAACCCTAAAACCTAAACCCTAGACCCTAAACCCTAGAAACCCTAAAGCCTAAACCAACCCATTTCAACCCAGCGAGGTGCCGTATGTAGAATACTACAAGGATCTAGCTTGGTACATGTCGTACTGATTCTTAATAGGAAATGAGGGAATGAGTTACCCTTTGTATTCCCTTGAAGGGTAGATCTACGGGGCTATAAGGCACCTAATTCCCGCATTCCCTACTAAGAACAGGGTAATACAGAACCCGGCGGAGGGGGTACTTCTTGCCCTATAGAACCCCCAAACCCTAAACCCTAAACCCCAAACCACAAACCAACCCTAAACCCCCAAACCCTCAAACCTTAAAGCGCCCAAGCCCTAAAGGGCGTTTTAGGGTTTAGGGTTTTGGGTCCCTAAACCCTAAACCCTAAACCCGAAACCCTAAAGCCCTACAACCTGCCAGTCCTTGTTGGGGACGTCGGGGCTCCTGCAGTGCCCTTTGTCAAGTCCTGCTGCGTGTTGGGGGGTTTAGGGTTTAGGGTTTAGGACTTAGGGTTTAGGGTTTAGGGTTTAGGGTTTAGGGTTTAGGGTGACAGCTTCATGGGGAGAACTCCCAGGGGTACCCTACTGTAGAAGCCTTCTATAAAGGGCATGTGCTGGCATAAGAAGGGTAGTAACGGGTTTAGGGTTTAGGGTATAGGGCCGTATCACCAGCCTCAAACGAAGGCCGAGACATGAACCTCCAGCCCCCCAAAACAAATCCCAAGCACCGCCGCCAGGACGCCC